GGGGGGGTGTTTGTGTGTGTGTGGCAGTTTTTAATTTATTAGTTTTTAAAATCAGTACTTTTTAAAAATATATCTTTATTGACTTCAGAAAGAGGAAAGGAGAGGGAGAGAAGAGAGACAGACAGAAAAATCAATGATGGGGGAGTCATTGGGGATCAAGCCCGCAGACCGGGCATGTGCCCCAACCGGGAATCGAACCTCAATCTCCTGGATCCTAGGTCAACGCTCAAACGCTGAGCCATGCCCAGCCAGGCTAAAATCATTACTTTTCAGTGGAAACAACTTCACCAAAAATCTGTCGCAGAATTCTTATTTTTATTTTATTTTTTTTAGGGAGGGAGAGGGAGAGAGAGAGAAAAACATAATGTGAGAGCAAAACATCAATCAACTGCCTCTTGCACACCCCCTACCAGAGATAGAGCCTGCAACCTGGGCATGTACCCTGACCAGGAATCAAACCGGAAAGCTTTCTGTGCACAGAGGACCCCCAACCAACTGAGCCACACAGGCCAGGACTGTCACAAAATTTTGAGACCCATTAAAACAATGAGAAACTTGTGTGTTCTTCCTCTCTCTCTCTTTCTCTCTCTCTTTATTTGATTTGAGAGAGAGAGAGAGAGAAGGGGAGAAAGAAAAACATTGATTCGTTGTTCCACTTATTTTTGCATTCATTGGTTGATCAAACCCACAGCCTTGAACCTGTGTGTTCTTTTGGTCAACACTGTAACTTTCTATTATGCTACTTAGGAGAAAGGAAGTAGAAAATTGAGTGCAAAAAGCATTCATTCATTGGACAAATAGTTGAGTTCCTTCTGAGTGGCAGGAAATGTTCTAGGTGAATGAGAAAAATCAGTGCCCATAACCTATTTCTGGTGTTATATCTGCTGGTACTTTAGAATTGGATAATCCTATTAACGGTTTTTTTTTCTGGATGGGAACTTTGTTTTTTTTTTTCACTTTCTTGTAAGGGGAGGAATCTGTTTACACAGTAAAAGCTGTGGGAGGGAGTCTGTTGGTGCAACACTAAATAGGTTAGGACAAATAAGCAAAGAATAACTTCGTTTATGTGTAAACTAGTTTGTAAAGGCCAAATTCTGTTATATTAAAGTCCACATGTTACATATAAAATTTTGTAGTTACATCAATATTGAGTAAACTTGTTGGTGTGTCAATTTTAGTTTTCCAGTTTTACTGGAATGTGAAGTCACATTTACAAATACTGAGGTAGTTTAAAGAATCGAAAATGAGGCTTAAATAGTATTGAGCATTGTCTTGCTACAGTTAATTGTATCCAGATTCTAGGAAAAATAAATAATACTGAAAAGAAAGAAAGGTTGAACTTGGAGAAAGAAAGTAGAAAATTCAGTGCCAAAAGCATTCATTCATTGGACAAATATTTATTGAGTTCCTTCTAAATGGCAGGAAATGTTCTAGGTGAATGAGAAAAATCAGTGAACAAAACAGATTTTTAAAAATATTTATTTTAAGGAAGCTGACATTCTAGTGAAGGGAGACAGATGATAATTAGAATAAATAAGTAAATTATATAATATATAGAGTGGGGTATGAGGGGTAGGAATGGGTTGCAATTTTAAATACGATGATCAGGGTAGGCCTCATTGAGTAGGATGGCATTTGAGCAAAGCTTGGAGGAAGTGAGGGGAGGGGACCAGGCAGATATCTGGGGAAAGAGCTTTCCAGGCAAGAAGAATGTCTGGTGTGTTT